TTCCTTGGTGAAATGTCTGTTCATGTTCTGTGCCCACTTGTCTGGTCTCTTTTATGATTTTGAGTTTTGTTCCACAATTTTCTCCCATTCTATCCAGGGCCTTCTAATGTGATTCCTTTCAGAATGGTCAGCAGTGGTAGCTGAGCACCTCGGGGACTTGGAGGCTAAGGTTCATGTGCGTACCTCACTTTTAGTTATTTCCTCATGTATAAAAATAAACCAGTTCCAGTTGAGTCGATTCTGACTCATGGAAACCCCTTTAGTGTGCTTTATAGTATTTTCAATGGCTGATTTTCAGAACTAGTTTGATAGGTCTTTGGGTGGACTTGATATTCCAACCTTTTGGCTAGGAGCCCTGAGTACATTAAGTATTTGCACCATGCAGGTACTTCTCCACATATATAAACCCCAAAACCTGTTGCTTTCAAGCTGATTGTGACTCTATAAAGGGTTTCCAAGGCTGTAAATCTTTATGGGAACAGGAAGCCTCATTTTTCTCCTGCTGGGTTTGAACTGCCAACCTGTGGCTAGCAGTTCAGTGCTTATCCTACAGCACCACCATCCATCCTTTACTCAGGTATAGTCATGATTTTACTGGGGAATAGTGATACAGTAGTACTTGTAGTGACCATTTGTTAAGAGCTCTTTAGTAGCTAGACACCAATGCTGTCCCTAGGATACCATCTGTAAGGACAGTCTATCTTCAAGCTCCTGTACATTCGTTTCTTTACCACTCATTTGTTAATCACATACTGATTAAGAGCTAAGAAATCTCATGCAACAATATAGCAGTGGGGAGAGGGAACCCACTGAATTGAGAAGTTGGAAGTAATAGTTCAGTACTGACTTGCTGTGTGACCCGAGACAAGTTTATTTTACCTAGGAATTCGTTTCTTCTACTACGAAATGCAAGCTCTGAAAGTAAAATCACTAAGGAGTCTTACTGGCATGGGGTTCTTATTATGAGGCTTTTCTTTTTTGTAATCCCTTTCACAAAATGCACTTCAACAATTTGCATTATGTCAGGTAATTATCTCAATATCTGTGTGAATGATTGTCATCCCAGATAGAGTTTTCTCCAGGCAGGCTTCTCAGACTGTCTTGTGGGTTTCCAGCTGAATAAGGTATGGCCCATGTGCCTCTACACACAAGAACTGTAGACTCGTCTGCAATAAAATGTGTTATAATATTTCTTTTTCTTTATATTACTTATTTAACATTTATTCTTCTCCAATAAGCTGTAAATTCTAACACTTAAACAGTACCAAAATTTTGTTCTGTTAAAGTCACCAGGAGCCCATTCAGTGGCAACTAACAGTAACAAGAAGCATAGGTATTTATTGAAATGAATGAATGGAGTTCCAGTACTAGAAACACTTACAGTAAAACTATGATTTTTTTTTTTAAAGAAAGCAATTGGAATAAGTGGAAATCAATCATGCATTTGTGCTAAATTTTAAAGCATATGTTTCGAATTAAAGTAGACAGACAGTCTTTGCATAAAATTTATAACATTTATTTAGGCAAAAAACAAAACAAAACACAAACAAATCCAACAAAAATCTGTACACACATTAATACTAAGTGATATCCTGATTTGAAATGTAGCATGATTCTTGTACAGAACACAACCATTCATCTGGCCACAGTGGGAACAGTGCCTTCAGTCCAGATAATTGAGAGAGCCTTTGAAATGTACACACATTACACTTTTCAATGAATCTGTCATATCTTGTGAAAGGAAACTCTTCTAACACAATTTAAGCAAAAGATAGCTCTAAAAAAAGTCAGTATGAATTTGACAGTGGGAATTCTACCGGGTTTTATTTAATTCTTGCAGAGTACAAATTATAACATCCTCCCATTTTTAAAAGAGAAAAAAAAAAAAGCACTCCAGAATTTCTTTCATAAATGCTTCTATCAGCATTTATTAACTATGTAGCTTCTTGATTTGAAGCAGATTCAAATAAGGCTTAAAAAGCACAGTTTGAACAGTTTTTTTAGTCCAAAATCAAACCTATACTCTTCAGCAATTTTTAATTTTTTACCCAAAAATAATTTTGATTTACCTAAAAATAATTTTGATAAATTTGAACTTTCTAAATATAATCAAGAGCCATTCTGTCTAGCTATAAAGTTAGGTTGTCCAAAAGAGTTTTATTTCACATAGAATAACAAGAAACATCTTGATCTTCATATAATTTACTGGAAAAAAGTCAGGGGTGGGGGGGACACAAGCAGAGAAAGCTCTTTCTTAAGACCATCATTTAACATAGTGTATTTGGTCAGGTTAACATATGATTACCAAAGAATGCATAATTAGGAGTGTACCGTGTCATGCTAAGTCTGTGAAATACTAACTAATTCACTCATTAGAAGCATATCCAACACAATTTCCTATCAGATTGCCATTCTCATCACTGGACCAAGGTTCATTCTGCATTATTCCCAAAATAAACAGTTCATGAGTTAACACTAACAAATTCAAAATGCATTATTAACACACAGCAAACGGTAAAGTCTAAACATCCAATATCCACACAATCATTTGAAGCTGCTACAAAGGATTTGAGTGGGAAAAGAAAAGTTCACAAAACTCTCTGGAAGCTATCTCAGAATACCACTCAAAAGCTCTAGCAATACAATAACCCCCAAATAAGCAACATACAGATAAGACCCTTAGAGCCCATATCAGCTGACATTATCATACTATCTTTAACTTATGTCTTCAGTTTAGTAATACTGTTTATCCCAAGATAAAAGTTGTACAATAACCAAATAATGCAAACAAATCATTAGAGGACAGAAGAAGACCTATGTTTCACCATATACAAAACAAAAAGTTTGTTTTCTCTGCTACTTAGGACTCTACTTCAACCTTGGTTGGGTACTGCTGCCCATTGTTGTATGGGGGTAATGCATTTAAAACACTTAAGCCAAATAAATAAATAAATAAAAAGAGTCCTGGTGGCACACTGTGGTTAAAGTGCTCAGCTGCTAACCGTAAGGCTGGCAGTTCAAACCCACCAACCACATAACTGGAGAAAATTGTGTCAGTCTGCTTCCATAAAGATTTGCAGGCTAGAAAATTCTACAGGGCAGTTCTACTCTGTCCCAAAGGGTCACTATGAGTTGGAATCAACTCAACAGCAATGGGTTTGGATTTAATCCAAAAATGTATTTCATTATTCTAGTACTGGGTATATTATATACAAACATCTGTAAGGGCTTACTTGCTGTAGGGAGAACTTCTATAAAGAGATGGAGTGCAAAAACAGAGCTCAAGATGATTTCAAATCAAGATTTCCCTAGATAAAGGTGTCCACTAAAAGGAAATATCCAATTGTCTTAAAATTGAAAAGCACTCTGACATACACTCAAAATCTTATCTGCGAAAGCAACGTATGTTCTTACTATCATATGCAATACAAGGCTAGATGATTGCCCCAATGCTACTGAGGTATGGTATAATTAAAAACACAACCAAATTAAAGTACCTGGGGAAGAAAACAGGCCAATCCAAAAGTTCCAAGAGTAAAAACAACTTCCTAAAGCTGAGTATATAGGATTGATGCTTTTAAATGAATGTTGGATTCTTTGGGAGTCTGAAAATAGAAAATAACACAAAAGCAAACTCCCAAGGCAGCTTTAAGGTGGTTCACCTCAGCTGTGGGTGATCCACTTAAATTGACTAGCACCACTAAGTGACACTTTTGTCCGGGGCTAAGGAGCAATTTCTGAAATCGTGGGTCTGGTATGCCTTTAAAAATCTTCAGCTAATACCAGTAGCTGCTGAGTCCTTTATCAGAAGAGAAAATAGCTTCTTATTACTACTTGAGTTGCTTTTCAAATGCAAAAATATTTTTTTTTTTTTAGAGACTAAAGATCATAGTAAAACTTATTTGATGGAAAGAATGCCTTAATCATTCATTTCATCATTTCTGCCCTGATTTCACATTTTTGTTTTATTCAGTGATACCAACATGCATCGCTACTCTCTAAAAAGTCTAATTCCATTTCCTTTAGTACATCTATACCTGATCGCTGCTTGTGTACTATCTTTTCTTATCATTACAGTTTGCCATCAAGTCGATTCCAACTCATAGCAACCTGATGTGTGTCAGAGTAGAGCTATGCTCCATAGGGTTTTCAATGGCTAATTTTTTGGAAGTAACTCACCAGGCTTTTCTTCTGAGGCATCTCTGCATGGACTCAAACCCCAAAGCTAAGGGTTAGAAGCCTAGAATATTAACTGTTTGTACCATCCAGGTACTCTTAGTGATGTCTTGAAATATCTGAGTGCACCAATGATTTGAGAAATGAGTGGTTCACCTCTAGTCTAAATTGTGCTTGAAATAGCACCTGTAAGCCACCTAACAGGTAACCCTTGAAGGCACCAAGTACTGTTACATTCTAGTATACAACTGTAAAATGGAGGCCTAATAGATTCTAACTCTAAAGACTGGCCAGTTAAACCTCCTAATTTTAATATATACATATACTCTAGAGATTAGCCAAGACCATACCGACAAATCTGTCCCTTCATCAAATACACAGTTAAGAACCATCCCAACCACAAAGGAACGAAAATTTTTAGATACTTGGGATGTGACCAGTTATTTTGCTTTTAAGACTCAAAGGTAAAAACCTGGCATTAACCTACAAAGAACATGCATTTTTGCCTTGAACAGTGCAAAGTAGAAACATAAGGTCAAACTTGTTAAATAGACTCTCCCTACATTAGAGAGGAGATCTGGAAACAGCCAATATCTCCATGTGATTATAGGCCCGTTCTATTTCATGCATCCTGCCTTAGAGATTAAAATTCAGCAAAAAATGGTGAGAAAATATTTTCTTTTTCATTTCCTTTAAAATAAACTTAGTCTGTGAAAACTGATCTTTAACAAAGTAAGTCAGAATTAACACACAGAATTTAATGTTTTTCAATGGTTCTAAATACTATTTTCTGTTTTCAGCCTTGTGAAGAAGCTCTAAATAACTCAAGTCTGATTACCATGAAAGTAGTAGGAAATGTGTCAAAATGTTATCAGCATACTAATAAACCAGCTCCTCTTTAAATAAAAGTACTTGTGAATAATTACTACAATTTAAACATATCATTTAAAATTTTGATTAAAAACATTTTGGCTACGTATGAAAAAATATGGTCTTCTGAGATTGCAGATTAACTTATTCATAAAATATAATTTAGAGTGGAAATAAAGTTTCTTGCTGAGTGACTTGCCACCTCCCAAGTGCTATTATTAATATAATAACTGATTGTTTACCATATTCCAACAGAGATCTTAAAGGAAAGGCAATTGTCTGAAATAAAATCCATCAAAAACAATTCCTCTTATGTACTGAAAATAGAATCATTACCTTTAATAATAGTCTAATGATTCTCTTTCATTTCTGGCAGTGAGATGTGGACATCTTTTCCCAACATGAACAGATTCAGAAGATACACATATTTTGAAACAACAAAAAAAAACCCTTAATTTTTCCTGGCAAAATTTACTGTTGTCAATCATATTTTAACAGCATCTTGATTCTTTATTCCACTGAACAAAGACGACTTTGAAATAAAAGGAAAAGACTGGCCGGTTTTAATTCTAGCAAGTTTTAGAAAACTTCACATTTCCACAACAATATGACATATAGAGATTGGGACAGTTAGTTTTTTTTTTAACACAGAATGCTATAATATTTTACAATGCGGTGCTTGAGGAAACTATTCTACTAGACAGCAACCAGCAGTCTGTGTTTCCAGACATCAGTGTGGAGAACAAGCTACTGCTTGCTGTCTCAGGAGAGGCGGGCCCCAACTGGGTAGCCTATCCCATTTTAAAACTTTACCACCAATGCAGACCTTTTCCCAACTCTTAATAGATTTTCTTTTGAATTTATCTTTCTGCCAGCCATACAGAGACCAGCCAGTGAGTAGCTTCCACAAGGAAAGGATTCAGATTTCCTTTCTTTCATGATAAGAATGCCATTTTATAAAAGATACACAGACATAGAATAAAGGCATTTTATACAGAAGCCAGTATAAAATTTACATCTAAAGCGGTGCCAGAAATCAGGTGAACAACTTATCTGAAGCTGCAAATGGATTGGAAGGGATTTAAAAATCAGAAAAAAATCTGGCCTAAAGGTTCGTGCAAACTTTATCATAAAACTGTAGCATTTCAAGCATTGGTAAGTTCAAACACTGAAAGATATGGAAATTTCTTAAAAGGCAATGATGAAGAAAGGGACCCTTCTTGCCTTATAAGTTAAAAATCACAAGACAAATTAGACTGGTCACATGAGCAGTACTATATATCATCAATCCCGAACAGATCCTATGACTCCTGTCATAGAAGTCTCCAAAACATAATAGATGGCAAAGTCTTCAAATTAACCAATGACAAAAATGATTCCTGTGATTCAATTACTCAACTATCTATGGCTATCAATTTAGTCTAGCCTGGGGCTGCTTTTTACAGGGAGGTGGCCTCCCATGACGGACAATGTGTTTTTCTAAGCTGTCCAGGATGGCCACAGCAATCTGCTGGACATGGGGATCAGTCTGTTCATGTTCTTTGATGTTGTATAAATGCTGTAATCCTCCTTCTTCAATCAGCATACTGCAGTACCTTGAGGCTGAAAGCAAACAGGAAGATCTTAAAACATTAAAAATAATCCCACAAAAAATCAGTTAAGCAAGTTTTTTAAACTTAAATTTTAACTTTTGATTATTTAAATTTTGCTTTGCTTTGTTATTGATGAATATGGGCTATAGTTTGATAAATACCTCTGTGATGATGTATACAGTACAAAATACAAAGTAGGCATTCAATGAAAGCATGTTAAACTCTGAAAGAATCCAAAATGAATTCAATCCCATGCACAAATAATACACATACCTATATTATAAGGAGCTCTGATAGCGTAGTGGTTATGAATAAGGCTGCTTATCTCAAGGTCAGCATTTCAAAACTACCAGTGGTTCTGCAGGAGAAAGATGAGGCTTTTTGCTCCCATAAAGATTTAAAAAGCCTCAGAAACCCTATACAGGGTCGCTACGAGTCAAAACTGACTTGAAGGCACTTAAGAACAAGGATGAGATTTATGTGTTGGAACATTTAATTTACATATTATTGTTGTTAAGTGCGGTCGAGTCGTTTTCAACTCATAGAGACCCTATACAGGGTTTCCTAGTCTTTAAATTGGCACAGGAGCTGAAAGCTTCATCTTTTTCTTGCAGAGAAGCTGAGTTTGTGGTTCGTAGTCCAATGCTTATTGTACGGAGTCACTGTATTCCCAATTTATATATATTGTTGTTAAGTGCCATCGGACTGTTCTGCCTCATAGCGACCCTGTATAGGGTTTCTGAGGAGCGCCTGGTGAGTTTGAACTGTTGACCTTGAGGTTCAAATCAACTTTGTGGCCCAGTGCTTTATTCCATAGCAGCACACCAGGATGCTATAAGATCATAGAAACTTTTCTTACCCAAAAACATCAAATGTGAAGTTACTGTTTCTCAACATATCCTCCTCCATTTACATCTATACACTTTTGAAGGTCATGTTTCCAACACTTAACCCTTTCCTGAAGAATAATTCTGTGCTCTTTGCTTTACACCAGGTCAAAACAGCAGCTTTGATATCCTTGAGGGACTCAAATCATGTTTCTTTTAAATGTTTTTTGAGTTTGGGGAACAAAATAGAAGTCTGAAGAGACATGGTTAGGGCTGTAGGGGGGATAAGGCGAGGTTTCCTAATGATATTCATATGGCAGCTCTCGCTACCTTTGGAAAAAAGGCAGATATATTGTTATGTTGGGGGAAAATTTTTTGTGGCACAACTTCCCTTGTCTTTTTCTTACCAATGCAGTTTTCCATTTTCTATAAATTTCTTTCTAATAGTCCTTTGTGCTTGTTCTGTGTCCTTTGAGAAAATCTATTAATATTACTCTCTGGGTTCTCAAAAAATAGTCACCACAACCTTCTGTGTTGCATTGCAGAGTAAACATGCGACTGTAAGGTCGGTTTGAACCGCAAGGTCATTAGTGATTCAAACTCATCAGCCATAGCCACTGCTTGGAAACCCTATACAGGACCGCTATGAGGTGGTATCATTTTTTTTTTTTTTTTTAATATTTTGTTGTGAATTATGTGATAGTTTACATGGGAAAACATTAACTTTATATTCATCCTATCATTTACCGCTACATTGCCATGCTTGCAATTCCCTCCATGCATCATCAACCAAACAAAGGGTATATCCCGCAAGCCTGCCCCTTGGTCGTCAGCACACAGCCCACTCCCTCTCTGGGTCTAGAGTCCCCAGCCGCTCCATTTCTCCATGTCATCATCTCTGCCTCTATCTCTGGCATTACTGTTTCTCTGGGTAGGGTCCCGCACTCTGCTCTTCTCCTTTGATGGTCCCAGGGAACTCTTCTCCTTTTGCTACAAAACATCTACCTTTACATTTCCAACCCTCACAGTCAATCCTGATAGTAATTAATTATTCACTATTGTACCACATGAATACTATCCACATCTCCTTTCGTCAGTCCCGCCCAGACAATTGGATACCACTCAATGGAGCTTCTACCTTCTTTTGTGCCCTCTGGATCTAGGCTTCTTGAAAGTTTGTAAGCCAGTTGCTTCTTGCCTTTATAGTGCCATTTTGGGTAGCTAATGTCCAAGATGCCCATCCCTGTCAACCCTGTATATTGAGGGGGTGGGAATGATCCTTGTTGTAAAGATTTGTCCTCTCTTTTGAGCTACTGCATCCATAGGTGCAGGTCAAGTTCATCAAATTGTATCAGATTACTCTTTTTTTTTTTCTCTTCTTTCCTCTTCTAGTTGAGTTCTGATCATCCAGCCATTGAAGCCAGGTCATGTGGGTATTATCTGCAAGTGTGGGTGCTCTTGTGCATTTGCCCTCTCTTCTCATCAGCTGGATGCTTCATTCTCCACTCTAGTCCTTTATGACTATGACACTGACTCTGGGCCCAGGAGTCCCAGGTCTTGCCACACTGTTGGCCAACCAGGTCTCCGAGGTGGAACAATTTTTTATGTTCTTGGAGGAATAACTAAATTGTCAGGCATATGGTAAATGTATATTTAATTTTGCAAGAAACTACCAAACTGTTTCCTAAAATGGATACAATCCCATCATCGAGCAGGACAGTATCCTTTGAAGCACAGAAGTTAAAAAAACACAATTTAAATCCAATTAATCTATATTTTCTTTTGTTGTTGTGCTTCCAGTAAGATATTTCAGAGTATCACTGGGTAATTCAAGAGCAAGAAGATTTACACCCATATTTTCTGCTAAGATTTGTATACATTTAGCTCTTACATTTATGTCAATAATCTAATTTGAGTAAATGTTTGTGTATGATGGGAAGCAGGGACCCAATCTTTTGTGTGTGTCTACCCAGTTGTTTCAGCACCATTTGTTGAAAAAACTACTTGTTCCCCACTGACTGTCTTGGCACCCTTGTCAAGAATCAACTTATCATTGATGAATGGATTTACTTATAGCCTCTGAAGTGGAATCTATTGATCTATATGTCTACTCTTATGCCAGTACCACAATGTTTTTATTATTGTAGCTTTGTAGTAAGGTTTGAAATTGGGAAGTGATTCCTTAAACTTTGTTCTTTTTCAAGATCATTTTGGCTACTCTGGGTTCCCTGCATTTCCATTTGAATTTTAGGAAAAGATTATGAATTACTGCCTGCAAAAAAACCAAAACCAAAAAGCTACCTGTAAATAAATTCAGAGAGTACTGCCATCATAGTAATATTGTCCCTCAATTTATTAACGTTGTTGTTGTTGTTAAGTGCCGTTGAGTCGGTTCCGACCCTGTACAGGGTTTCCGAGGGTGTAAATCTTTATGGGAGTAGAAAGCCTCATCTTTCTCCTGCGGAGCGGCTGGTAGTTTCGAACCGCTGACCTTAA